TTTTTTTTTATTATTATTTTTTTATTGATTATGCCATTACATTTGCTCTATTCCCCCCTCCCCTCCCCTCCACCCTGCATACCCCTCCCCCACCATTTCCCCCTTTAGTTCATGAACATGTGTCTCAAATTCTTTAGATTCTGTATTTCCCCCTACTATTCTTACCCTCCCCCCTATCTATTTTCTATCTACTGTCTGTACTACTTATTTTCTGTACCTTCTCCCCCTTCCCCTCCTCCCACTCCCCTATTGCTAACCCTCCATGTGATCTTCATTTCTATGGTTCTGCTCCTGATCTAGCTATCCTCTTAGTTTGCTTTTGTTTTAGGTGTGGTTCTTAATAACTGTGAGTTTGCTGTCCTTTCACTGTTCATCTTTTTTATCTTCTTTTTCTTAGGTAAGTCCCTTTAACATTTCATACAGTAAGGGCTTGGTGATGATGAACTCCTTGAATTTGGTCTTATCTGAGAAGCACTTTATCTGTCCTTCCATTCTAAATGAAAGTTTTGCTGGGTAGAGCAATCTTGGTTGTAGGTCTTTGGATTTCATGACTTGGAATACCTCTGTCCAGCCCCTTCTTGCCTGTAAGGTCTCTTTTGAGAAATCAGCTGACAGTCTGATGGGAACTCCTTTGTAGGTGACTGTCCCCTTAGCTCTTGCTGCTTCTAGGATTCTCTCCTTCATTTTAATCTTGGCTAATGTAATTATGATGTGCCTTGGTGTGTTCCTTCTTGGGTCCAACTTCTTTGGGACTCTCTGAGCTTCCTGGATTTCCTGGAAGTCTATTTCCTTTGCCATCTTGGGGAAATTCTCCTTTATTATTTGTTCAAATAATTTTTCAACTGGTGGTTGTGCCTTTCCCCCTTCTGGTACCCCTATAATTCGGATGTTGGAACGTTTAAAGATGTCCTGGAGGTTCCTAATCTTCTCCTCATTTTTCTGAATTCTTATTTCTTCATTCCTTTCTGTTTTATCATTTTTTTCTTCCGTCTGGTTCTCTCCCTTGATTTGAGTCCCAATTTTCTTTCCATTATTATTGGAATCTTTTGTATCCCCATTCATTTCAATTAATTTAGCTTCCATATGTTTCTCTAATTTGTGGCTAAAGTCAACCAGTTCTGTAAGGATCTTTATAACCAGTGTTTTGAACTGTGCATCTGAAAGACTGGCTATTTCTTCATCACTTAGGTCTATCGGTTCTGGGGCTCTGAGTTGTTCTAGAGCCATTTTTGGTCTGTTCGCGCTGTTAAGTGAGCGGAGCGAAGCCTTAGTTGTTTACCAGGACGGGGCGACCCAGGTCGCTGGTTTGTGACGCTGTGTGTGGGGGCGGGGTCAGAGAAGGAGCAATGGCGTTCCTCTCCGCTAGCCCAGAGCATCCAGTCACACACACAAACGCCTCGGGCTTGCTTATCCGATCCTAATTTTGCGAGCCTGCTGCACTGCGCTCGGGTTTCCCTTCTCACTGGTTTCTCCGCACGTAACTGCGTGCGACCGACCGACCCACCGAGCCTCTTCCCTATGCGCTCTGCAGCCAGCTCGCTGGCGATCAGCCCTCGGTTGCCGCCTGCGCGCGCCGCGCACCGCCGCCCCGGGAATTTTTTCTTGCTAACCTGCTCCGCTTCTGGTCTCGCTCCTTGTACCGTTCCAGCCGAGTATCTAGTTGTCCTTTGGACTCCGTATTGTTGATTTTCCGTATAGCTTGGTTGTGACTGCTGTTAAAAATAGTTGTTCTTAGATTTGGTTGTGCACAGAGGCGAGGTGGACCCTCCACCTACTTCTCCATCTTGGCGGAAGTCCCCGCAAACACAGTTTCTGACACTTCAGACGCCCGGCCTGTAGGAGTGATTATGATGTGCGTGTCACGCTGATCGGGAACACGTTTTCGCTTTGGGGTTGCTATGAGTGCATAGTCAGGCCACAGTACATGCTCTGAGGTGACAGCCACCGCTGTTGTCTATGCAGCGTCCCCTCGGTGTGCTGTCGTCTTCATTAGGGACCGTCTGCCACGAGAGGCCAGGCTGCAGACGCCCCTCGTCAGTGAGACTTGACCTCAGCAGTTTTGCAGGTAATTTGGAAGGACAGGGAAACAGCCATCCTGTTCCACGGCTTTCTGCAGGTGCAGTGAATACCACTGTACCCCCCCATCCACGGGCTTGCTTTCCGCTGTTTCAGGTGCCTGTCGTTGACCTCCATCTAAAAATCTTAAAATGAAAGTTTCAGAAGTAAGCAGTTCATGAATTCTAAGTTGCACAGGTCCCAAGAAACCCTGTTTTGTCCTGCTCGGTCCCACCGTGATGTGAAGGACCCCTTTCTCCGGCATCTCCTCGCTGTGTACCTGGCCCCCGCCACCCCCCTCTCCGCGTGAGCCCCTGAGCGGCTGTCTCGGTGCCCAGGTTGCCAGGGGTGGTACCACAGCACTTGTGTCCAAGTCAGCCTTGCAGTAGCCTGACGCTGTGTCACCGAGCCGTGGGCCATCTGTGGCCAGTGCCAAGTTCACAGACAGAGGGCTCTTGTTTGCCTGTATCAATGATTAGTAAACAGCAAGGGACAAGAAACGCTTGCATAGCAGCGATTATTATCTTTTTCCTCCTTGTGTAAATTCCCGGCCAACCATTTGGTCTGTCCCTTCTGAAACTGGGCATTGATTTGGAATTCCGTGACTACCTTGATTTCTAGTGGGGTCCTAGGCCACAGAGCTTTGGAATAAGAGTAATACTCAGCTTCTACTTCTGTCCAGGATAGTCGGTAACAGCGTAGCCATCCTGGCCTTGGCGTGGCTTTGGAGCACTCTGGGAAAATGACTTGCTCAGCCGTGGTGCCTGGGTGTGCGTGAGCGCGGTCCCCATTCTACCCCTCGGCCAGAGATGCTGGGGTCCGGCGCGCTGGCTCGTGTCGAAAGGCTCCTGTCTGGCACATAGTAGGTTGCTCATTTGTCTCTTTCGCTGCCACATTTATTGGTTTTTAGAATGCTGAAATAGCTTTCTCTGAGAAAACCAACAGCCTATGAGAGCAACGTGGAGCTGTTATTTTCCTGGTTGTTAAAAAAAAAACACCTAACATTTCAAGTAAACCGAAATTACTGAAAACCTTGACACCCAGTGGCCCACATAGGTTTCAAATGCTGACATTTTGCCGCAGACGCCTTCCACCATTAGAGGCGCGAAGCCACGCAGGCCGAGTGCGAAGGCCCCGCCTCCGCCCGGTCTGTCCCTTCCTGGTGGTCCTGGCGCCGCTCTTTCATGTCCTCTGTGGTTTTAACTTTTACCGTGGGGTTATGCGTCCCGAAGTAAGGTGGAGCGCCGTGTGTTTTAAAAACTCACATAAGCAGACTAATATACACCCTCCGAACCCATGGTCCCCCCACCCATGGAGGCTTATTTGTACTGTAGTTACAGTTGCTTTTCGCTGCCGAGTAGGATTTCACCGTACGAAACGTACCCTGATTTACACAGGCGCTGTGTACGTGTTACTCCGTTGTTACAAAACACTCCGAGGGAAGTCATTTTGACTCCGTTTCTGCGTACGTGTTCAAAGTCACGTTTCCCCAGTTCCGCAATGAGATGCGTTTTGTAGTGTTTCCCGGGGAAAATGAGGTTGGCAAAGTCGAGCTCGCAGGCGGCCCCTGCGTGGCTCTGGGATGTGAATGTAAAGGGGTTTGTGCTGTCGTCCCTCCTGGCCTGGGGTGCCCGGGACCAGGGCAGCCCCCTCTTCCCCGGCTGGGGGTGGGGTGGGGCTGCAGGGAGCAGGGGCGGCTGCCTGAGACGCTGGGAAGCTCAAGGTCCTTTCTGTGCGAGTGACCAGCGTGGTGAGTCCGTGACACTTCCCAGGCCTGAGAGGCAGAGGGGAAGGCTCAGGTTTTACAAGAAGCGTAAGCTACGAGCCCGGCTCTGCGGGGACTCACAGTCGGGCAGGAGAGACAGAGCGGGCGCGTGTGAGCCGAGGCAGCCGTGCCGGGGCCCCTGGTCAGCATTCCCGAAACGGGCTGTTTCGATTTTCTCTGCATCTTAACCTCTCACTCAGCAATGATTTCTGGAAAGCCTTCAAGGCCTCTGGTGTCGAAGGACTTCATCTCGCAAGGCCTGTGCGATCGTCGGCACTTCAGACGTGTCATCATTGATTCGACCGTTCCCTTATTCAGGGCTTTTTATTTTTATTTTTGCTGTGAGTTGCCAGGAATGGTAGGAACCTTCGTGTGTGCACACGTCCCTGTGCGGGCTGGCGTTCTGGATCTGGTGGGAGGGGCTGCGGGGACAGGGGGGCCTGCGGGGGCAGGCACACGCCTCTGCATTCCAGTAGCGGCCGGGCCACCACCCTCTCCCCGGGCTGACCCCGCCCTGCCTGGCCACCAGCATGTGCGTGTGCTCTGCCCACACTGCCACTTCTGAGAGTTAGGACGTGTTGTGTTAAGTGTCCAACTGGACGTCAAGTGACCCCCCGCTGCTGTCGATTTCTGTGGCCAGCAGGGGACACCAGCACCTCCTTGACAATACGTCGGCCATTCCGGTTTTGCTGTTTTGTGCTCTGCTCACCTTTTGCCTCTTTCCTTGTGGGCCTCAGGGACCCCCCGTGGCGGGGCTGTGAGAGCTGTTGACACAGAGTAGACACGCACCTCTCCCACTTACGTCACACACACATGGACCAGCTAGAGCACTCGCCTCTTGTCTTTGTCCACCAGCCAGTTCTCTGGAGGGTCATAGCAGCCACCTGGGTGTCATCAGCTCAGGGAACAGCCTGACTAGTCTGACACACTGGCCAGTCTTTAGGAGGGTCCCCAGGTGAGGCCACCAGCTCGTTGAGGAATGTGGTAGCTCACGATGACGTCAGCCAAGTGTCTCTCACGTCAGCTGTTCAGACGTTCTCCAAGTCACAGGGAGGGATGGTCACGTGGACGCCCGAGGGGCAGGAAGACAGGGCTGACCCCTGAGCAGCTGTCACGCACTCAGCTGACCTCCCTTCCTTGTGGCGAGGGGGCCCTGAAATCTGCATTGTTCTTTTTCTAGGAGCCACGCCATCCTCGAAGCCTCACCCGCCTGTGGTGGGCAAGGTGACGCATCACAGCATCGAGCTGTACTGGGACCTGGAAAAGAGAGCACCGCGCCGAGGGCCTCAGGAGCAGTGGTTCCGGTTCTCGATCGAGGAGGAAGACCCCAAAATGCACACCTACGGTATCATTTATACGTAGGTGCAGCGTTGAGCCGCTTAACATTTTTCTTTGGTTTCCTGATTAGCTGGACTGGTTTCTAGTGTCTTTAAAAAGACTTGTTTTGAAATTGAAGAAAAGAACCAGTTAGCATTGGTTGCATTCATGCCTTTTCTAGGTTATAGTTTTTGGAAAATAGCTTTAGCAGTAACTTGGAATTAGACCTCCTGTCCCTTTGGGAGCCCCCTTGGCTTCTGAAGTGTCCTAACATTATACGTAAAAACTCCGGCACGCGGAGACAGAGTAGAGTTGGACGCAATCAGGCGAGGGTCCCGGCTGTTCTGGCTGCAGAGGTGGGCCGGGGTCCCGTGTGTCTCCCCAGGGCAGCTCGCCGACCTCAGGCCCCACCACCGGGCCTGTGTTAACTCCTGGCAAACAGCCTGCTGCCCTTCTGTCTCAGTCGGGCCACACTGGTCCCACGGCAGGTCTTCCTGGTAGCCTTGACCTTGAACACGTTTCCTTCTGGCTTTACAGTGCTGGTGCCCAGCAGAGAGGTATTCCCTCCACAAAGGCTCGTTGCGAGCAGCCGTCCTTCTCCCGGGACCGTGTTTCCACGGCTCCTGGCATCAGGCTCCGTGGGGATGGTTCCGCCTCGTTTATCCTCTGCCTCCCGAGCGGCATTCACACTCAGCGACAGGCAGATCACAGTCCTGCTTGCTTCCCGCTCCAGCCCCAGCTCCCGGGCAGGGTAGGGACCCCGCAGGCCCCCCGGGCGTCTGCTGCAGGAATGAATACCAGAATGCAGCGGGGCCAAGAGCCACTTTTCTGTTGGTTGTCATTCCAACTCCTGTTGCTTCCCTTTAAAGGCTGCATTGCAAAGTGACCCCGTGTTTCTGTCAGTGTTGCTTTGTTTTCCCCTGGAGACCTGTGTGCCGTCTGCGGGGTGGGGTGGGGGGGACACTGCGATGCTGACCTGGCCTTGCAGGGCCAGTGGCAAGGCTCCAGGGCCCGCGCTCGGGGCACCTGTGCCAGGGAATCAAGTGACAGGAACCCTGCCACTAGGTGGCAGGATGAGACTGTGTTAATCTTGGTCACCCACTCTAGGTGTCCTTAATACCAGCAAGCCCCTTTCTTTGAAGAGGCGATTTTGTTTGGAACACCTGCCCTTGGGACTGTGGGAGGAGGGTCTGGCTGGCCAGCTTCTGCCCGGGGCACCCACCAGCCGGTCTTGGGTCCCTGTTGCTGTCTTTGACTCAGGCCTCCTCCCAGCCGTCACCTGGTTCTGTCTGTGCCCCCACCCCCCAGATGGTGGCATTGCCCCTGACGAGGTGCTAGCCACTACTCCGACCAGTGCTTAGCTGTGTCCCTGGGCCCTCAGCTGCCCAGCATCGTGGCCGCCTGAAGGAAGCGGCCTTTCCCCTCTTTTGCCTTCTCTCCCCGCATTCTGCCGTGCTCCGAGTGTTCTTTCTGTTCTTCTTTTGTCCAGTGGGGCTCCATTGCTTTGAGATGAAGGCCCAGCGCCTTCGACTGACATCGGGCTCCCCTGTCCACGCCTGCCTTTCTCGCCTCTCAGTTCTGAGCAGAACGTGCCAAAGGATCCACCGCCGCCCCTGTGCCTGGGTCTTCTCTTCTTCCACTGAGTGTCCGGCTGTGTTCCCTGTTTGGCCACTTTGGCCCCTGCTCCATCCTTTGTTCTGTCCAAGTCAGCTTTGCCCCTGACTGTCTGCCCCGCCCCTGAATCCCTGGGGTAACTGGTGGCCGCACTGTGCATTTCATTTGATCACGCTGCATGTGCTAATGAGGAGACTCTCCTATGCGCCGGACACTGTGCTGGGTCTGGGGACACAGCACTGGACAAAGAGGAAAACCCCTCCCTTGTGGTGTGGAAATGGGACCTGGGAACTGGGATAGAGCACTGAGTGCGCGGTCTGCTGCGTTAGGCACCAATGTCAGACCCTCGGGCTCGCTGCCCTCCCACGGCGCGGCTGCGCTGCCCGCGGCCGCAGTCTGCACGTCTTCCCTGCGTCTCCCAGGCCCACGCAGCAGCCTCAGCCCAACACGGTCCGTCCTCCCGGCTGCGGGGGGTGAGGGCGTGGCCTGGTGTTTCTTGAGTCTTCTACTCAGGATGACACACTTCCCTTCTGCCACGGCTTCATTGCCCCAAGCAAGTCACCAGGCCCTGTCTGCCTGCACCCGGGTGGGGGGAGGCGCACAGACCCCCAGGGCAGGGGCTAATACTCGAGACCAGCCATCCAGTCTTTCACAGGTGCAGGGGGCCTGAGGTCCGGGACCGAGCAGCGAGAGTGACAGAGGCAGGTGCAGCAGGAGCTCGGGGTGGGGTGTCAGGAGTGGGGGTGCCCCTGGTGCCCGGTGAGAGCAGCAGGAGGAAGGTGTTCCTGAGACAGGTGCTGGGGGCGGAGCTCAGGGGGAAGGCCGGTAACTGACTGTCCCTGGGAGCCAGTGGTTAGTGCGTTATACTTTGTGTTTGCTCAGCTCTGTGTCAAATATTTGCTTATCGACTGATGGCAGAAAGGAGGCACGCCCTGCTGAAACTCTGTACGGTTTCCTGCACTGCGGAGGGGGTTAGAAGGCTCCTTCGTCCTCCATGCTGCTGTCCCCGGGGGAGGCAAGTAGAGCCTCCCAAGGCTGGATGGACAGCCTGCTTGTCACCCACATCTGTGCTGTAGTCGCCATGGGTACCCCAGTGGTCCCTGTGTCCCCTGCTGTGCCCGGCTTTCTCCATGCTGCCATCCCTATAAATGTGGGAGCCTCTGCCCCCCTCTCCCCGCTCCGAGATGCTGAGTAACGTCTGTCTTCTAGACCAGTTCTCCCCTCCAGCAGTCACGGACGTGCTGCTGGTTTCAGGGCGCTCCCCTGATGTTGCACAATACTGGGTTTTATGGGGGCACTTCTGGTTACATTTTGGTCTAGCGCTATGTTAAATCTTGACACCTGGCATCGAGACTTGGGTGCTGCGTTCTCAGTGAGCTCCTAGAGGTCTTTTCGCTGCCCCAGACCACTGGGGGCTTGGCAGCTGTGCATCGGGTGTCTGTGGCTGTGGCCCCGCGCTCACGGCGATGAAGCCCGGCCCCCAGGTGCCAAGGGTGCCAAGCCAGTAGAGTTTAGATTTTAAAGTTACTATGTCTTAGCCCATGCAGTTTCCCTGCACATTTATCTTTATTTTCGAGCTTTTACTTCTATGGTAAATGCATTTATATCTATTTGTAACACTTGTCTGTGCTGTGGTTTCTTAATTCAAATGTTGTTGGCATTATTTCTTCACCATCCTTTTTATAGTTTCTTTTTTTGTCGATATACGATGCCTCGGTTATCTGCTGCTGCCTAACCAACCACCCTCAAATTTGGGGTAAAAAACTATGGTGGGTGTTCCATGAGTCTGCAGTTTGGGTGGGTTGGGCTGACACATGTCTGCTCCCGTGGTCTTGGCTGGGGCTGGAGGACCCAAATGGCGTCCCTCAGTGTCTGCTGCCTCTGCTGGGGTGGCTGGGACAGCTGGCGGGGGACCTGGCTTCTTCCCCTCCCTCTGCTGTTGCGTGTCTCATGGTGAGTCTCCCCCACCAGGAGGCCTCGCCCTCCAGCGGGAAGTTGAACTGCATTCCCTGGTGCCAGCTTCCAAGGGCGCAGAAGCAGGACCTTGCTGGGTTCTAAGGCCTCAGCTGGAACTGCACGGGGGCATGGAGGTGCCACTCGAGATGTGTCCTTTGTGCTTGAGGCCCCCACAGCCTAGTGTGGGGGCTCAGACCTGTGCTGGAGCAGAGGACGCTCCTGCGCCCCCTCTCCTCACGCCGACTCAGTCCCTGGTGTCCTGTGTGTCTCTTCCCATCTAGGGGATATGCCACAAAGCATGTCGTGGAAGGCCTGGAGCCACGGACCCTGTACAGATTTCGGCTGAAGGTGACCAGCCCCTCTGGCGAATTCGAGTACAGCCCAGCGGTCTCAGTGTCTACGACCAGTGAGTATGCAAACCCTGCGGGCTCAGTTATGAGGAGCAGACACCGGGAGGTGGCAAGCAGGGCGGAGGGTGCAGCAGCCTGCTGTTGGCGTGGCCCTTCCGGGGGCGGAGCCAGTGCCACTTTCAAACACTGTGATGACCTTGTGCCCTGGTGGGGCTTGGCCGTCGTCTAGGATGTCTGGTTGTGCAACAAGTCAGACCTGGGCCATGCCCCCACTGCCCTGGGTGCACACTCGGTGCAAAAGCATGGCTGCCTCACTCAGGACACGGGCCAGGACACCGGCCTCACTCAGGACACCGGCGGAGCTGGCGAAATGGCCCGGAGACCCAGGCTGCCTTCCCTGGTCCTCGGGGAGCCAGGGCCAGCTGGCGTCTTGTCCCCTCTGGGCATCTGTGGCGTGTGGGACTTGACCTGACACGTGCCTCAGATCCCGGGGACGCTGTGAGTCGGGAAGGAAGGACAGCACTGTTCCCACCCGCAGGGCGAGGGGGACACCGGCCCAGGCCAGGGGGAAGGGCGCTGATGGTCTGTGGTCGGGGTTTGGAAACTGCGTGCCCAGTGCCATTTTGACCTCGAGTGACGAGCAGGTTGGAGTGGCCAGGAGCACGCGGCTGCCACCAAGGAAGGCCCGCCCACCGGGCCTCCTCCTCTGCACGGTTGTGCAGGGGAAGCCTTCCTCTCGTGGGCAGAAAGTTATTCGGAATTTCATTCACTGCAGCATCTGGCCTGTGTGTATGCGTGTTTGTCCTCCCTGTGCTTTCCCGTGTGTCCGCGAGGCACTCACTTTGGATGCTTTTGCGTGGGTCGAAGACTATTCAGTTCTGGACGGTCCTGTAGTCAGTTGCAGACAAGGTGATGGTGGCCGATGCTGGTCCAGCCAACTGAGAGTTCAGTTACCACTGAGAGTGGCCGCATGTGAGCCTTCCCAGCTGGTGCTGGGGGAGCTGCGAGGAAACCGAATTTCCGTGGGGACTTTGGATGTGACGTGGTCAGTTATGGAGGTGCATCGGGACAGGGGGCTTGTCCCCTCGTGGGGGGAGTTGGAAAGCACCTGCTTTTGTCTGGGAGACACTGAGCGCCTAGAGTTTCAGAGGCGGGAGAAGAAGGCGGATCGGCAGGACCAACAGCGAGAGAAGAGCTGGGGGAGAGGCTGGCACCGGGAGCCCTGGGCCGGGTGCCCCGTCAGGCCGCCTTCCAGCTCCCTCCTGTCCTGCTGCTGTCCCCAGCCCTCCGCAGGCCACCCCTGCACTCCTCGGCCCCTTCCTCTGGGGCGTCCCCCTCCAGCAGCCCCTTCCCCACCCCTCTGTCTGCTGAGCCTGCTCCACGCAGAGCTCTGCTTAGGGCCGGTCCCCGCGTGGCGTCCCCTCCCTGCCTCCGCCGGCCCCTTTGCTCCTCCCTGGCCCACAGCCTCCGTGTGTCACCCCTCCAGTGCTCTTCCTGTGTCTTACTTCCTGGAGTCTGCCACCTGCTGTGTGCCCCTGGGGATGAGGGTGACGGGCCAGTCATACCTAGCCTGCTTCTCAGGGGCAGACGGATGGACAGAAGGACAAGGAAAGGGAAGGCCTGAGGCAGAACTAAGGACCAGGACTGATTTCCTCAGCTCGCTCTCATGGTGGCTGAGAGGGTCCGCCTGACCCTCGAGGTGCGGGCGAACTAGTGAGGCACTGACCGCGGGGAGCCCCAGGTGGCCACCGCCACCTCAGCGCCACAGCCAAGCCGGGCACGGTCTCCAGGGATTCGTGCCAGAGTTGACACAGGGTCGCTGCAGGGCCATCATCAGCCCGTCTGTCAGCTGACAAGGGCTGGGTGGGGCCGGGTGGGCCTTGTCCTCACCAGGCTGGCTTCTGAGAGGCCACTGCTCCAGGGGCCCAGGACATTGGTCACTGCGGCCCGTGGCTTCCACAGGCAATGAGTCAGGACAAGGGCAGGATGGAGATGGGGCTTCCCGGGCTTCCAGCTGTCAGGTCACAGTGCGGGTGACGCCTCTCGGCCCAGGGGCCCCTCCCTCCCCCGGCTGCCGCTCCCTCCCCTGCTGTTGTGGTTGCGATGCCCGCAGCGGGCTCTGCGGGGGCAGCGTGTGCTACGCAAACAATTAACAGTGGGCACGTGCTTCTGTGGGTGGGCAATCTGTGTGCAGCTGGAAGGTGTTTTAATGAATCCTGCGCTCTGTTTGCATAAAAGATGCTCAGCCTTTTTTTCCCAGGTAAAGTACACGAGACGCTGGCTTAAATGAGGCTTGCAATTTTAATCAGCTGGGCCCTGAAAAAGAAAGAAAAACCGCTGCCGCCTGTTAATTGGCAAGTCTCTTGCCCGATGAGCTCATCACTTATTCAGCGCCATTAATGGAGACTCAGCTTCCACCAAGCGAGGCGTTACTGTCCCGTTACAGTCTGAGGGTGATAACTTCTGCAGTTAACTGAGCCTCTCGCAGGACCCAAGTGGGGCTCCTGAAGACCCCCCCACCCTCACCCTCCTGGGAACGGTGGTCCCCTTATGTGGTCCTCCCCGTGAGCCTGGTGACAGCCTCAGTTCAACATTAGTAACTGCAACCGTCGGGGTAAACAGTGGAGAACCACAGCAAGTCCTGCCTTCCTTGTATTCGGTTGCTCAGATTGATGGCCATCCCTTAGGTCGGGCCCACAGAGTCTCAAGGGGTCTGGGGGTGGGAGTGTGCGGCGTTTGGCTCCCGTGGAATTTCCTCTGCTCTTTGTGCCTCTCGCCCGGCATGGGAGCGGAAGAACCTGCTCTGCTTTGCAAATGAGAGCCCCTTCTTTCCTGTCGCTCTGTTAGGTGCAGGAAAACACGGAGGCATTTTCGTGCCTCAGCCCGTCCCTGCCCACCTCTGCGCCTCCTCCTGGGGCAGCAAGGGGTCCGAGAGGTGCCTCTGAGAAGGAGCGGCTGTGTCCCAAGAGGCAGAGTGACAGTCACTGTCGCTGCTGCTTTTTGCTGGAACCTAGTGAGCCAGGATAACGAACGGCTCCAGCTGTCCCTTTGTTCTCAGAATAAGTGACGAGAGCCCTGGTGATCACCTCTTGCAGGAGCTGGAGGAGGCAATAGGTTTGTGTAAATGATGCCCTAATATCAACAAGCCCTGCTCCTGGCCATGTCGAGCCCCCAGCTCCGAAGCACAGAAGGAATTACTTCTGTCCCATCATGTGTATCTGCAGGGCTTCCTGGGCGGGATGCTCCAGAGAGAGATCCCACCGGGGGCACCTCGCTGGCGCCCCGGGGCGGACGGGCACAGGCGCTGGGGACAGAGGCGCCTCAGGGGGGGGGCGCCTCAGGGTTGCTGGTACGCTGCAGGTGCTTTTACCCCTTTCCTTCCAAATCCCAGGAAGTCAGCACTTTCCTGAAGCATTTTAGGCTTAGGCACCGCTTTCATTTACCACTCTGCTGGGGGTGGGGGGGCCTGCTTCCTCATTTACGATGTCTGTTGCATTCAGCACTTCCTATGAATGGAAGCATGCGGGGACAGGATCGCCACCTCCACACGCACGACGCACCCAAGGAGGGTGTGTGGCCGGGCGAGGTCTGCCCGGGTGACCAGGGGGACCCTCGGGGCCTCTCTGGGTCCCAGTGCCGTGCTCTGAAGAACGTAGCCTCACGTGAAGTCCTAGACGCAGCTTAAATCGGTGGGATTTCAGTGAGGATGCCAAACTTTGAAATGAAGTGCAGTAGGGAACTTCCTACATCCTTCTGGTTGATTTTAGGCAGATTCCTTGTATTTTTAGTAGCAGTTGAAGTCGGAGAGTCTCAGAAGTGGGGGCTGTTTGGCATAAAAGAGACTCTCCCACCACAGCACCCGCCCCTCCTTCCTGGGAAACGAGAGGGAGAAAGGCGCCGAGGGTCTTGCCGTCCCCCGGAGTATGGGTGGGTCGCTGTCGCTCTGCCCGGGCTTCTCCCCCTCAGCTCGGTGGACGCTGGCGGTCATCCTGTGGCGTCCCTGGCCCTTCTTTGCTACATGCCAATAGCACCGACCCTTAAGTCGTGACAACCCCAAATGCCATCAGACGTTACCAGATGCCTTTTGGGGGAAGCCTCTGCCCTTTTCCACAGCCCCCAGCGGGCCCACCAGGCTGGGCATGGCCTCCCTCGGAAGGCCGGGGATGGCGAGGGCATTGCCTTTTGATAGCTCATCACGATATTTTTATTTAAAGCCCTTAGTCTACAAATATGTGTGGAATGATGAAAAGGAAGTATAACGTGGCTAAAAATCTGTAGGGCATTGGCAAGCTCTAGCAGACAAAGTTGTTATTTCAAAACATTTTTAACTTGGCTTAAATGAATTTTTTCCGAAAAGGAGAGAGGTTATCAGGTCCAGCTCACTGATGGTGACCCCCCCGTCTCCCCGCCCCCCAGGTCCTCCCAGGAAACCAGGAGGACCGTGGCTCTGGGCCCAGGGCTCTGCCTGGGGGGCTTTCCCTCCGAGGGAGCAGGAGCAGGGATTTTACCTCCCATCTGGCGGAAGAGGCTGGTGGACCCCTGCAGGCCAGGCCGCCAGGGGTGGTTCAGGGGTACACTAAGCCCCAGGAGGCAGCCCAGGGTGCAGTGCAGGGGGTGTTTCCTTTGGGGTTTAGAATAAAACAGGCAGAAAGTGGGCACCACGCTGTGAGCAGCAATGGGGAGACTCGCGTTTGTCCCATTCTCCCGGGGACCTCAGGATCATTTGTTGAATGAATAGGTGGGACCTTGGAGATGACTACATTGAGGCGTAATCAGCTCCACGCCTGTGGGGGTCAGGTCTGTATTCTAAGTGTGGGAGGCAGAAGTGACCGGTGGGCTGCATCGAACAAGGGCAGCTGCTGGCCCAGGACCGTCACCTCAGCAGCAGACGCGTGCCCGGTGCAGTTCTAAGAGCTTCATTTTATCATATCGTTAAGCTTGAGCATCATTATTTAAAAATTAGACAGTCATGGGACGTGAGACAAATGGAGCCTTGCAGTAAACGCCCTGAGAGATGGGCTCTGTCACACACCCCTTCTCCGAAGGGGTACGTCCCCGTTCCAGAGAGAGAGAGAGAGAGAGAGAGAGCGCCCTGCTTCCGGCCCCTCCCATCCCGCTTCCCTGTCTCCTTCTCTTTCCCAGGCTCCATCTCCTTGCTCTGCCCTACTTGGCGGGCTCTCACCCCATCCCTGCCTTCTTGCCACGTCCCGCCTCTCTGGGTGGGACCCCTTGGCCCCACAGGCTCCGGGGAGACAAGGCCAGTGTGAGTGTTCCAGTCCCGGGAAGGCTGAACATTTGGATCTCAAATGTTAAAGCGGCCTGTCTTGTTTCCATTTGTTGTTCAAGTAGTCAAGAGACTTTGGCAAGGAAACCCCCGCGTGCTGTGACAACTGGGGAGCTTTTTCTTGCACGTCAGAGACATTTGTGGAATCTTATGAAATCCAAGAGGATGGCTGTCAAATGCTATTTAACATTTGCAAAGCGATACTGTTACAGTTTGAAAATGTCCCAAGGCTTTAGGACGATCTAAATGTTCTTCTCCTAATCAGTGGAAACAAGGCGCTTTTCAGGAAGAAAAGGCCTCGGAAGGGAGGTGTGCGCCCCTCGTGGGGACAGAGCAGTGCCTTCTGGGAGGCAGACACAAACCTCCCCGTGGGCCAGAGGAGGAGGGGCCGGGCGGACCTTCCTTCATTCCATGGGGTCCGGGGGAGGTGACGCCTGTCCGCCCGAGTGTGGTCAGTAGGTCAGGCGATACTACGGGTGTCATAGTTTATAGTTTTAACTTGAACATTTCCCCTAAAATGTGCTATGGTGCGCTCGAGTGTGATATTACCACGTTACAGAATTACATGCAAATGATCTGGTAGTACAAGATTTTGTGAAAGAGCAGGAGCGTGATTTGGGCCGGACCCCGTATTTTGGATGACTTCTTCCCGCCTCCTTTCCGCAGGAGAACCCGTAAGTAACGAGTATTTCCATCGAGCGGTCAACATGAATGACGAAGATCTGCTGGTTCGAATGCTTCAAGGAGGGTGAGACAACGCTGCCATTTAAACTTCTTAATTTTTAGTGCCCACGAAGTGCAGAGAAATGCAGGGTGCCGCTGTCCTTACTCTCTGAGATGTTCCCATGCCTCTGACGCTGGCCCCAAAGTCCAGCCCGGGTGACCAGCGTAAGTCCAGCGCGGTTAGTGACCACGACGGCAGAACCGCATGCACGGTGCGCCTGTTGGTGATTATCTAATGCAAGCTGGCAAAGGAAGTTACGAGTCTGGGTATCACGCTACCTTCCCAGAGATAACTCCTGACTCTTCAGGAATTGTTGCTCAGCCCGTTCTCTGTATCTGTGAGTCTGTTTGTGGTTCGCCTGTTAGTTCATTTTGTTCACTAGATTCCACATGCGGGTGAAATCACACGGTGTTGTCTTTCTCTGACCGACTTATCTCACTCGGCACGGTGCTCCAAGGCCCACCCATGTTGCCACACCAGGCGGAAAGATTCCCTCCTCCTTTTCTGCCGGGCAGTATGGACTCTTTTTGAACTAGTGGTTTTGAGTGCCGTAGAAGAAGACAGTTCATCTGTGAACTGAGGCTCTGTGCTTTGGGGAAGAGAAGGTTGCCACAGAAAGTCGAAGCTGCTGGGCGGGTGTGCGAGATCTCTGCTGCATTCTTTGGGAGCAGGCCCGCACACCCGTGGGTGACGTGGGAGTCGAGGGGAAGTGAGGGTGGCTGCCGCCGAGGCCCCTGTCCCCCTGAGCGGAGGGCGGGCGTGGAGACGGTGTCCTCGCCCACCGAAGGGGCCCTGTTCCTCATGGAGCGTTTTATTGGCTTGCGTAATGGTTTCGAGTTGAAGGGAATGCCTCTTTGAAGTGAAATTACAGCAATTTTCTCTCCTGTGCCTGTGCATTTGAATCTTTTAAAATATTCAGCAGGGCAGCCTAGGACAAGACAAATTTAATGGCCCAGAAGGAATTGGAATTTTGAGGAAAATGAGCCATTTTAGCCACCTGTGCCCCGCAGGAGACGCCAGCTGCGGATCTCCAGGGAGCCGCGCCGAGCACGCTAACCTCCTCTCTGTTCTTCCGAAGCAACGTGAAGGTCGATGTCCCCAATAAGCTGGGCTTCACGGCGCTGATGGTGGCGGCTCAGAAAGGGTACACCAGGTGGGTCTCCCCCTCGGACCGGCCCGCGGTGGCCGGCACGGAGCCGTCTCCCAAAGGAACCCGCGGCAGGGGGTGGAAAGAGAACTCGCTCTCTTTCCACAACTGTACCCTGTGAAAAGCAGTTGAGCAAAGTCAGCCATTTTCCTGATAAAGTTGTACGAGGTGGAGGAGAGAATGTGAGGGTGTATAATAATCACATGGCGAGGAAGAGAGGTTGTTGTTTAATTATATTTTACACTATATTTTATATATCCTGAAATAACTGGTTATTGGAGTTAGAATTTCTTTAAAAAAAAAAAAAGAAAGGCGAGGAATATCAATTCTGGAAAATGAACTTCCCTGATGGGTTGCTAAGATAACACTTTATTTTCTCTATTCCACATGGAGATAGACTTAAACACTAACAGCTTATTTTTCAATCATATTTATAGTTTAACTAAAATGCCATTTTGAAAAAATTATTTTTATTCAGTGCTGCCATTTGAAAATGTATTTAAAGTGGTCATTTAATTGACAATGAACTGTGGTTTGATGGTCCAGTTTGTTTATGTGGTATAGTTTATTTTCAATGGATAATTTATGTAAAGGTTAAAACCTCGTTTTTTTAATCCTCACCCCAGGGCACTTTTTTCACTGCTTTTAGAGAGGGAGGGAGGAAGTGGGGGGCAGGAGGGAGAGAGAAACGAGGTCACAGTGAGACAGGAGCACCGAAGGCTCGTCTCCCAGGTGCAGCCACACCGGGATCGCACAAGTCTGGACCTGCCGCTGCGTGTGCCCGCCTCTGACCCGGGGATCAAACCCACAACCTAGGCACCTGCCCTGGCCGGAGTCGAACCTGCAACCCTCGGGTTGCAGGATGAAGCTCCAAGCAGCTGAGCCCTACTAGCCAGGGCACCAGCCTTTTTTCTTTTTTCTTTTTTCTTTGTGGTGTGGAGAGGCAGGTTTCTGTTTTCTGGTTTAATCACGCCTCAGCTTTAAAGCGGGCTCGGTGCGGCTGTACCTTACGCGCAGAGCTGGGCGTGGGTTCCTGCCCGTCCCGGCTCCAGATCCAGCTCCACCCATGTCCTTTCCCTCAGGCTTGTGAAACTCCTCATTTCCAACGGCTCGGACGTGAACCTGAGGAACGGAAGTGGCAAGGACAGGTAGGCGAGGCGAATGGGCCCTGAATACTCCCGGACTTGAGTTACGGGGCTTTGCCCCAAGTGTTTCTGACTCAACGCAAAGAGGTGAGGCGGTTTCGGTTTGTGGTTTTTGACGGTGGGAGAGGTACCATTGCACAAAGTAAAGAGGGGGTGACAACCACATGTCCGGTCTTCCCTTGTCATTCCACTCAGCGGGGAGTCTGCGGGGCGTCTGTAACGGGCACACACCTTCCCCCAGCCGGCGCCCAGCACACGCAGGGAGCTCAGTGGTGGCGGTCATCAGCATCGTGGCCACCAGCTCTGTGCGGGGCACCGGGTGGGCCACCCCTTGGTGCTTTGCCCCTCCCTGAGGGTGCTCCTGGCCTCCGCGTCTAGTGTCTCCGAAGACACCAAGGGCAGTCACAGTGCACACCCTGAGAACCTCCCTCAGGGGAGCGGGCTGAGCACCTCACTGGAGAAGCTTACCAAAAACCACAACTTCCAGAGTGAAGGAGTGTTCGAGGGAGGCTTAAAAACGACACGGAGCTAGCGAGTAGGTTTAATTACTCCATTTAAATCAACCAGTGTTGACTGGGTGTCTGCTGCATGCCAGGCTCTGTGCTTGGTGCTTGGGGAGAGCAGTGAACGGAACACAGAGCTCGTCTTGTGCCGGAGCTCGGGCCCGCGGTGCTGCCCCCGGCCCGGGCTCACCCCGGGACGCTGGCTGATTTCCGAAACCAGCCGGCCTACCGACTGCCCTCCCTGGACACGAGGCAGAGAGGTTTTGAATGCTGACAGTTTGAAATTCACCTGCAAATTGAAACATTAGTGTTCCACAGAGCTCTTAGGTAATTTTGGAACTAAACCATCAACTCAAGAAGTTCGAAAGAGAATAATACCAATTTAAAAAGGAAAATGAAAAGTGAGGAAACTTGAGAGGCAGGAGAAGGAATTAAAATAGCAGTAGAAATTGATTAATTAAACAATAAAGATTGAGCCGCGTATGTGCAACCTCTTAAAAATCTCTGCAATGAAATAGACCAGTTTCTTGTAAATCTAAGAAGAAAAAAATTAGAAAATCAAAAGGGTATGTTCCAGTGGTTATAGAGGACATTTAAACATGAAATGAAAATGGTGCCTTTGCATCTAAAATGGTAGATTTGATCATTTTATTGAAATAGGTACTGTTGATGAGAATAACACAAACCAATGAGGAAGATATTGAAAAAAGAGGCCATTTGAAGAAAAAAAATTAGGGTGAATCCTGGCCTTTATACCATGCACCAAAATAAATTCCAGGTGAATTAAGAATTAAATGTAAACATCAAAACCATAGAAAACACAGGCATGTGTCTGTCTGAGCTTATAATGTGAAAGACAAAAGGATTATAAGAAATCACTAAGAAAAAGGTTAAGAATACATTACTCATTAAAAAAAAAAACTTAATTACAGCCCTGCCTGGTGTGGCTCAGTGGATTGAACGCTGCCCTGCAAACCAAAGGGTTGCAGGTTCGATTCCCAGTCAGGGCACACGCCTGGGTTGCAAGCCAGGTCCCCAGTAGGTGGCGTGGGAGAGGCAACCACACATGAATGTTTCTCTCCCTTCTCCTCTTTCTAAAATACATGGTAGAACAAAGCAGTTCACACAAGAAGACAATTCATCGCAGAATAAGTTAAAATTAACACGACGAATGTGTGGCTCTGAGAGCGATAAAATTTAAAATGACCCACCTATGACAGTGTCCATTAGAAGATGATACAAGTGTTGGTCTCGGGTGGGTGCTCACTTCCAGGTGTGGTTGACAAAAAGGTGAGCTCATGTAATCTTTTGGAAAGCAATTTGGCGATACCCATCCAAAGCAGGCCCCTAATCCCCGGCAGGTGAAGGGCTGCCCCCTGGGGGGTCTCGGGAGAGCATGGCCTGCGTGGGGACACAGGCGCGTGGGCCTTGGGCTTGGGCCTGTGCTAGGTGTTGGACGAATTCCCCAGAGACTTGGTGGAAAACTTTAAATTTTTAATTTTTTTATTACGAGCAAGACTGAACATTTTTTACATTAATTTTTACTTATTCTGCTATGACCAGTCTTTCCTGTTGGGGAGACCTTCCTGCCCCACACCCCAGCTTTCTACTTGGAGAATTTCGAACATTTGGAAAAGTTGACAGAATAGTACTCAATGAACGGCTGCATTCTTACCGCCCAGGCCCGCCAGTTTTGTGGACGTTTCGCCATATTTGCTTCTCTTTACATTTTTATTTGCTCCTGGGGGGGCCTAACTCTTTCAAAGTAAAGTGGTAGGTGGCATAACCTTCCACCCCCCAGTACCTCAGTCCTGTCTCCTAAAGCCAGGACCTCCGTCACCATCCCATCCACTTCCCCAATGTCACAGGTGCCCCCACCACCCATGGGAGCCTCCACCCTGCCCCCCGTAGGTCACCCACTGCTGTGTTTGGGGGTGTGGGGGGAGACCATGATCTAGTCGGGGCCCACACACTGCATCTGCTCGTCTTGCTCTCTAGTCTCTTTTGTTCTGGACTGGCCCTATATCCTTTAAAAATCTCTCTCCATATATATATTTTTTTCTCACAGCACTGACTTCTTGAGGAGATCAGACCAATCATCTTGCAAAACGCAGAACGCCCTGACCCTCTCCTCACGGTGGGGCTGGCATTTGCTGTGCTCACTCATCATCCTTTTATTCCTTTCAGTTGAAATTGGTGGAAAGGCGCGGCTGGGGTCAGGTTACGTTTCTAGCGAGGACGCTGCAGAGCTGGTGGTGTGGCCACCGGAGTTCTGATGAGCCCGGGTGGGGCCCACAGTTGGTGGTTCCAGGTTTGGTGCTGTGGTTAGGGTGCCATGGCTGAGTCTCTCCGCACTGAAGACAGGGTTTCCCGCTGCAGCCAGAAAACCATCTGCGGGCTGCCAGCCAGCACAGCGCAAGGGGCCTGCTCCCCGCCCACCTGCTCTCCCACCGACGACCCTCACCCAAATCAGCGGCGTCACTGGGAGCTGCAGAGAAGGGATTTTCTCGCTCTGTGATGCCTTCTACATTTGTTGGCTGGCAGGCTTCTGTGAGAAGGCGCTTTCCCTCATCAACTGGCAGAGTACAGGTTTATTTTCTTCAACAGTCATATTTAGAGAAAGGAGAGAAGACCACCCCTTTGACAGCAAACCATTAAACCAGCTCCTCTCTCTGTTCTGAGTATCGCCGTGGCCTGGTGGGTGCTGTAGAATCGCATGTTTTAGGCCATCACCGTGATTGGGTTTTGTTGAGATGTGATTTACACACTGTGAAAATTTCCCATTTAAAACGTGCATCTCAGGGTTTGACACCCTGTCGACCCATTGAGCAGCCCCCACTGCACCCAGGGCGTCGGCACCACCAGCCCAGGAGGAAGTGGTCTCTCTGGGTCCCTCTCCCAGCCCGGCCCGAGGCGACTGCGGACTCGCTCCCGGATGCAGAGACCCACCTATTCTGGACCCTTCCTAGGCAGGCCTGGGCAAAAGCAGGTCTCCAGCTGTTCCTGGGGAGAGGAGCAGGCAGGCTGTGGGGATTGCAACAGCCGTACTTCTACAAACTTGCTTTGCCAACCCCTGTACCTGGAACCATATATATGTGGCATTTTGCCTCTGGCTTCACTTACCCTAGTGTTTTAAGGTTCATCCACTCTGTAGGATTCGTCAGTGCTTCCCTCCCTTTTTATAGCCAAATGATAATGCACGGTGCGGATAGGCCACATCTTGCCTACCTAGTCACCAGGTACAGGCAGGACACGGGTGTGCTTTACATGAATGACCGAAATGGGGTTTCCTTCTGAGCTGAGCCAGGTAGGGTGCAACGTGGTCCTGGGCTCGGCCCCCAGGCTCTCGGCCAAACGCGCCTCCCCCGTCCGTTGCAGCCTGATGCTGGCCTGCTACGCAGGACACCTGGAAGTTGTGAAGTATCTCCGGAGACACGGCGCTTCTTGGAAGGCCAGAGACCTGGGGGGCTGCACGGCTCTGCACTGGGCCGCAGACGGGGGCCACTGCGGCCTGATCGAGTGGATGATCAAGGACGGCTGCGAGGTAGGGGCTTCCGTCCCCAACGCCCTCCTTGGGGGCCTAGGGCGTGTAGGGCCTGTCAGCGGAGCTCAGAGATGCTGGGGAACGTCCTGTGGCTTTTCGGCCAGAGGCTCCTGGAGGCCACTGTGGAACTGGTAGGATAGTGAGACTTCAGGTTGTCCTGGGGGTTCCTCTCGGGTGGGAAGAAGAAAGACCACTGACGCTGGAGCGGGACCTGGTTCCATCCACGACACCTACTGTCCACTCCCTGTCCACCCCTTGTCCTCCTCGTCCTTCTGTCTTGTCAGCCGAGCTTTCCTGGGCCTCCACCCGGGACAGCCCCAGGGTGCAGACACGCAGATGTCGGGGGCTCTCACAGCCACGGCTCTGGTCACTCTCGTTGCCTTTAGAATCCGACTGTTTCCCCCTCGGGTTGTTTAAAGGTCAGTCGTTACGGAAACTCTCCAGAGAGCCCACGGACGGTAGCAGGAGCAGATTGCAGCTCTGAGTGTCTTTGCCTGGAAGCAGGCAGCTGGCCCGCCTCTGGGTTCGCGTTGTCCGAAAGTGCAGACCTGACTTAGCAAGTGGAAGTGCAGCTGGGGCTTCTGGACACAGGTGACCGGGATTGGCTTAATTATGGTGACTGCTGGCAATTCCGAGAGCTTTAGTTCAAGACCGCAGAGGAAAATAAAAATGTCGAGGCGTGGAAATAAGGACTGCTGGACAAATGCCACCCTACTTACGACTGTAAGATAGTGCGGGGGTAATTGAGAGAGTAAGCGGTGACCTGGAAAATAAACCCGGGTTGGGAAGAGTCCCGTCTCCGGAAGGCATTCGTGGACTTGTCCCTGTTGGTCTGGGACGTGCGGGTGAGGGGCAGCGAGGCACGTGCCGTGGGCTGTCACAATTCCTGTCGCCCACCCCTGTCCCAGGGCTGCGAGAAGGGGCCCTCGGAGGGAAAAGCTCAGTCACTGAGACCGTTCCTTTGCGTGGCATTTCTTGTTAACTTGGAGAAACATGCAGAGAGATCAGAAGCATGGGCCTGTGGGCCCGGGCGGGTGGGCTGGGCCACCCCCGCCTGGCGTGGCAGAGACAGCCACGTGGCACTGGCGTGGCGATCTGTGATGCGCTCAGCTCGTGGTTCTGACCCAGGTCAAGTCTGTAGGAGAAAACAGGACTTGGCTGGAACAGGGCCGGGCCCCCGCCGCAAACACTGACATGCGGGGATCTGGCAAGTGTCGGCTCTCGGGGCGTGAGGTGGGAACACTCATCTCTGGGGTCGATTCCACGTCTCTCTTTAGCGCCGGAGCTACAGGAAAGGCGCTGTGTGGCCGGAGGTGGGGGGGGGCGGCGTCAGCACGAGCCCCTCCGTGGTCTCGGCAGTCAGTCCATGAACGCTTTGGAGGTCCATGGGGGGGACCTGGAGCTAACCCGGGTATCGCCGTCACCCTCCTCCCGAGCACAGGGTTCTCGCCCTGAGAGGGGCCGACTCACATGGGAACCAGTTCTGCGTTCCCTGAGCCACGGGAGTTCAGGAAGCTTCCGTCGTTTATACACCAGGGATAGGAGCACCTACCCCAGCCTGACCCCCGGCCTGACCCCCAGACCGAAGGAGGGAACGTGCGTGAATGCGCACTGAACACTGTATAAGGCACCGCCTAATGCGCAGTGGGTATTCGATTGTCGTCTAAAGGTGTTGAAACTTGCTGCCCCAAGGTTGCATGTTATCTGCACGAGAAGGAGCCGCAAACCCTAAAGAGGTTGTGGCGGAAAATGTCCTACGTGCAGATAACCCGAGACGCCCCCAGGACCTCCTGGCGGTCGGTCCCGCGGTGCCATTCTGATGCGTTACTAAGGCTGCGGGTGCCGCCCAGCCAGTCTGTCCCTAGAACGAGGGGCGTGTTTCCAATATGCGCGGGGGCGTTTGCCCACCCAGGGCCGCCTTCCCCGACTGAGGGGGTCCTGCTGGGGCTCCGAGGCGGCAGCGTGTGCTTCCTCTCCTCCTGCACCGCGTCCTTCACAGCACCCGAGGGGGCCCTCAGGGTCGCGTCGGCCGGGCAGACGGCGCTGGGGAACAGCCCGGGCTCGGCTGGCTTTCCCGGTCAGGACTCGTGCAGCGGATCTGGTCGCTTTGTGTTTCCCTGTAGGTCTCCTGCTAAAAATTGATGTGTATTGACAGGTATGAGGGGGCGTGTCCACGTTAGTGTCCGGGCCCAGACTTGATGAAAGCTGATAAAAGAGATATTTCAGAGCGAGCAAAAGACAGTTTACTTAAACCACGGGTGAGGCCAGGAAGGCAGGCAGGACTGGGCCGGGCAGTTCCCCGGGAGCCAGTGGGAGGCGATCACGTCTGCTTCCCTCTTCCATCCACCCCCTTTCCGTGTGAACAAAACGTGGCCGAGGGTCCCAGTGGGGAGCCCACCGCAGCACCCACTGAAGGCACCCTCTCCCAGCTTCTCGCCCTCTCGCCCCTTGCCGAGCCCAGAAAGGCCACCCTCAGCCAGGGGAGGTGGGGCAACGGTGGTCCTGGGAAGGCCTCCAGCGATTGCCATTAGGGAACAGGAGCTGGACGGAGCCCTGTCCCTGTGGCCTCCTCACAGGTGGACGCCGTGGACAGTGGCTCCGGCTGGACCCCCCTCATGAGAGTGTCCGCCGTCTCGGGCGACCAGCAGGTGGCCTCCCTGCTCATTGAAGGCGGGGCCGACGTGAACGTGAGAGACAAAGATGGGAAGACGCCGCTGATGGTAGGCTCGCCGTGCGGGCGCTGGGCCCCGGCCGGGGCTCTCTGTCCACCGGCCTCTCACTGAAGGCAGGACAGTGTCAGCCCCTACTGTCATTGTCTGTTTTACAGCTACTTTCAGAGTTGCCTGCCCCGTCCCCGAGGCCATGGTGGGGTCTAAACAGACCTGCGAACTCGGGGAGGGTGCCGCCGTCTGGGGCGGGGCAGGGCCCGTGTCCTGTTCCCCGCAGTCGTCCTCACTGTAGGGTGACGGCACACAGGCCTGTCCAGCAGAGCCACCACGGCCCCACCTCTGGGGACGCCGGTGGCCCTCCCGGACCTGCCCGCGCAGGGACACCTCGCTGCTGCCCGGGCCTCTGCGGAGGGAAGTGCCCACTCGCCCGGCCTCTGCGTCCCCTCCTCAGGTGGCCGTGTTAAACAATCACGAAGAGTTAGTCCAGCTACTTCTAGACAAAGGGGCGGATGCGAGCGTAAAAAACGAGGTGAGTGACTGGAGGGCTCCCCCGAGCTGCCGCCGGAGAAGAAAGCGCACGCAGGCAATGCCATTCTCGACGTTTCCTCTTTCAGTTCGGCAAAGGCGTCCTGGAGATGGCCAGGGTGTTTGACAGACAGGTCGGCATGCTCTTTCCGCCCCTCAGGCTCACACTGTAGTGCTTAAAAAGCACCCAGGCCCTCGGTCACATTCCCCTGTTGTTGCTGGTCTAGAACGTCATCTCCCTGCTGGAAGGAAGGAAGAAGCAGCAGACGCCGAAGAAGCCGGCCGTCCCCTCCGTCCCCTCCGTCCCCTCCGTCCGCTGACCCGGGCGCTGCTTTCCTCCGAGAGCCGAGCGACAGAAAGCAGAACGTGACCTCGGCTCTCAGAGACGTGTGACGCAGCGTCTCTGAGGGCTGTCCATTGGAGTATTTATTCCGTTGAAGATTCGCCGTGACTTTTGTAGCACACAGCCGTTCCCACTTCGAAATACACCTCTTTACACAAGCACTCGGGGCTCTGCTGTGGTCCCTGGGTGTCTGCAGAGTGGGGGTCCTGCTGTTGGGATTCAGACAAACACACACAGTCGCCTGCCTCCTGCCCCGCCCCCACGCCGACCTCTGGGCTGTTCCGGGACCTTGCGGGACTCCTCTCCCTTGCGTGGTTTCGGTGACAGTGTGCCCGCCCAAGGTCAGGCCGTCCAGGAGGTGTCTCGGGCTGGTGTTCCGTCCTGGACTGACGTTCCTCCCGAAAGCCCAGGAGGCCAGGGGCCAAGTTCTCTCCTTAGCTGCTGGCCACACGTGGGGGCCCTCCACACGCGGTCCAGGACTCCGAGGCGGCTGTCGGAGGGGTCTGGGGGAGGGTGGGTCTCTCCCGGACAGACCTGCCTGTGAATGTGCTTGTGAAAGGCCTGGGCTGCTGGCAGGTTGACTGCTTTGCCAAAGAGCATATTAAAATCAGCCTCTGAACAGAAATGTGTTTTCAGGCTGACCACGCACTGTGGAGAGATGTGGGAGTTAACCTTGGCAAGGTCCGCTGTTTGGGGCTTCGCCACAAACGGGGAACTTTGACCCGGCAGGCAGCCACCTGAGCTAACAGGTAGCAGGCGGTGTGTGCGTGGTGTCTCCCGAGAGACGCTGGTTACCTCGGCCCCACGAGAAGCCCAGCTGCAGAGGATCTGCACGGGGCGAGGGGCGGGGGGTTTCTCTGCAGGGAAATGTGAATTAAAGGCAACGAAAGCACCTGGTTTTGCTGGTATTGGCCATTCTCAGCCTTATTCTGTGTGGTTCATAGAACTCAGAAGTAGATATGAGGGTCGAATACCGTCCTGTCCTTGGACATTTCATCAGTGTTTTACCTTTTGTACAAATGCATAGTCCTTTCCATCTGCCACATCAGATTTGTTAAATCTCCCTTTAAAAAGACAGCTTTCCTAGCGCCTCCCCCACGATCAGCGTTGATGCGCACCTGACCTTCATTTCTCCATCTTCTGTGGATCTTAATCACCTGCCCGGTCCGCAGCCGGCGGGCACACACCTCTCCTCCCCGACAGAAGCCTGGCCACGCCGTCCCATCCTTCTGACCGAAGGCTTGGCTGGAGCAGGGGGCTGAGCTTGGTCAGCAAAGTGGGGGCGGAGATGGCTCCCACCTTCCGAGCAGAGGTTTTGAGGGTCCCGCCCCCCCACCATCTCTCCTTGCTCTGCTGCAAGGCCAGCTGTGACCCAGACGGAGGCTGCCGCGTGAGCCTGGGGCCCCGCTCGCCCCGAGGGGACACGACCCGTGAGTAAGAGTGACTCTTCCATGTCGTAAGTCATTGACGCTCAGTGGCGCTTGGCTGCGGCCGTGTCACTTGGCCCCAAATGGCTGCTGACGAGGGGCAGCTGGGTGTTTGTGAAACCTATTTTCCCCAAACAACACCGGTAACTCGCAAGTCCTTTGGCTTCCAGTCTGAGTCTATACAGACTTCTAGGAACTGTGGAACAGGTATCGAATTTCATCAGCTGTCTCTGTAGCACCTCTCCCAACCTCAACGAGGCACACTTCCCTCCGGTCTGTCAATTTGGTGAGTTGGATTACTAGATTTTTATTTTTTTAAGGATTTTATTTATTTTTAGAGAGAGGGGAAAGGAGGAAGAGGAGGAGAAGCATTGGTGTTTGATGTTCTAGAGGTACATTGATGGTTGCCAATCACATGCCCTCAACTGGGGACCTGGCCCACAACCCAGCATGTGCCCTGACTGGGAATCGAACCCGTGACCCTTTGGTTCGCAGGCTGGCGCTCAGTCCACTGAGCCACACCAGCCAGGGAGGATTATTAGCTTTCTAAATATCGAACCCTCCTTGTATTGCTGAGGTGTTTTCCCTGGGTTTGCGTGTCTCTGGATTAAGCATGCTCACCTGCTGTGTGCATGTGCTTTTCACCTTTTTGCTTAATGAGATTGGACAGGACTTCATCTTGTGTTTTAATTTTCCCAAAGAAGCCACCCATGGTTTTATGAGTTTTACTTTTCCCAATGAACTTATACTCTTTTATTTCGACCAATTCATTCCTTCTCTTTCCCCCTCGGTTTATTAATTTTTTGCTCCTTTGTAACTTTTCAGGGTGGATATTTAGCTCCTTTTCATCCTTTTTGTTTATTAGTGTGAAGTCAGGGTTTCACGCCCACCCCCCCACCTCGCTGTGTCCGCCGGGTCCCCCGGGGCATTTGCTAAGCTTCCCTGATAGAAAGCTTCCCCTGTGCGCTTTTCAGATACCAGCTTGGGCGCATCCCGGACCCTCTGAGCTGAAGTCCCCAGGGAAGGACGATGCTAATGAGCATCCCCCTCCAGTTCCTGTAATTCAAGGAGCGTGAGAAATGCAGATGGAGGTGGTTGCTTTTGCTATTTTCTCCATAATTTGCAATTCACCTTTGACTTGCCACATTTCTAGGGCAAAGAATTGTTTTTCTACTTTAATTAATTAATTTATTTTTATTGATTATACCATTATAGTTGTTCTATTCCCCCCTTCATTCCCCTCCACCCTACCCCCCCCCCGTCCCCACCATTACCCCCCTTTAGTTTATGACCATGTGTCTCAAGTTCTTTAGATTCTGTATTTCCCATACTATTCTTGCCCCCACCATCAATTTTCTATCTACTGTCTATGCTACTTATTTTCTGTACCTTCTCTCCCCTTCTCCTCCCACTCCCCTATTGCTAACCCTCCTTGAGGTCTTCATTTCTATGTTTCCGCTCCTGATCTAGCTGTCCTTTTAGTTTGCTTTCGTTTTAGGTGTGGTTGTTAATAACTGTGAGTTTGCTGTCCTTTCACTGTTCATGTTTTTTTAACTTCTTTTTCTTAGATAAGTCCCTTTAACATTTCATATAATAAGGCCTTGGTGATGATGAACTCCTTGAATTTGATCTTACCTGAGAAGCACTTTATCTGTCCTTCCATTTGAAATGAAAGTTTTGCTGGATAGAGCAATCTTGGTTGTAGGTCTTTGGTTTTCATGACTTGGAATACCTCTTTCCAGCCCCTTCTTGCCTGTAAGGTCTCTTTTGAGAAATCCCCTGACAGTCTGATGGGAACTCCTTTGTAGGTGACTGTCCCCTTAGCTCTTGCTGCTTCTAGGATTCTCTCCTTCATTTGAATCTTGGCTAATGTAATGATGATGTGCCTTGGTGTGTTCCTTCTTGGGTCCAACTTCTTTGGGACTCTGAGCTTCCTGGATTTCCTGGAAGTCTATTTCCTTTGCCAGATTGGGGAAATTCTCCTTTATTATTTGTTCAAATAAGTTTTCCACTGGTGGCTGTTCCTTTCCCCTTTCTGGTACCCCTATAATTCGGATGTTGGAGCATTTAAAGATGTCCTGGAGGTTCCTAAGACTCTCCTCATTTTTTTGAATTCTTGCTTCTTCACTCTTTTCTGTTTGGCCATTATTTGCTTTCTTCTGGTCCACTCCATTGATGTGAGTCCCAGTTCCCTTTTCATCGCTATTGGTTTCCTGTGCAATTCCATTCATTTCAATTAGTTTTGCCTTCATATGTTTGTCTAATTTGTGGCTATAATCAACCAGTTCTATGAGGATCCTGATTACCAGTGTTTTAAACTGTGTGTCTGAGAGTTTTGCTATTTCTTCATTGCTTAGATTTATAGGCTCTGGTGCTTTGAGATCTTCTTGAGCAATTTTTGGTCTGTTCAAGCCCATTAAGTATGAGGAGCGGAGCTTTGGACCCTCAGGTTGCTGGGTTGTGACGCTGTATGTGGAGGCGGGGTCAGAGCGGGGAAATGGCGGTGCCCTCTGCTGCCGCTCACAGTGGGGCTTGCTCAGTCCCATAGTCTCACCTCCCACTCCCTCGCTTGTCTATCTGCTCACGAAAGCATGACCACAGTCAAGCCACAGCCCTGCTCCCTCGCTGTTTCCCCATGGTTGCTCGCTGAGTCGCTTACTAGGTCCAACCCTGCACCTGGATTCTGTGCACCTGTGTCCATCTGACCGAGTTTTTCTGTGCAACCCCGCTCCGCAAGCTGCTGGTTTCACCCCTCTTACCAGTCAGGCTGAAGAATTTGTTGTTATCAGACTTCCGAAAAGTTCAATTTTCTGTGTTCTGGCTGTGTTTTCTGTAGCTAATATTTAGTTGTCTCTGAACTTGGTTGTGAGAGAAGGCACGGCGTCTCCACCTATGCCTCCATCTTGGCGGAAGTCTCTGTCTTTCTACTTTTAGTGCATTATAATCTTCAGAGTTTGTAGTATTTGGAATTTGAATTTATTTTGTGGCTTAATCTACAAAATTATAAATTCGTGTACATATATTTCCAGAGGCCTTTGAAGGAAATTACAATGTTCTATATGTTTGAAGTGTTCCATCTGATACATATCCATTTGATCTACGTTATTAACTATGTTGAGTTAAAATACTTGTTTTTTGCCTACTTGTACTTTCATGGATGGAGAAAAGTAACAATATAAAGACCTTGTTACCTCCTGTAAACCTGTTTTTCTTTGTACTTCAGTTTGTTAGGAAGTTAGATGCTATTTTTTAAAATTGTAAATAGATTTATATTATGCTTAGATTTTCATTCTGGATAAGTCTCTTGTAAACGTTTCTATTTCTGCTTGCTGGCTTTTTGCATTTCTCTCTTCCATAAATAAGACGAATATTCCAAACTTTATTCTGTTAGGTTCTGCATTCACTTTGCTCACAGAGTGTCAGGTTCCCCCGCCCTGCCCCGAGGTGTGTCTGTGAAATCTGGCCTCTGCTCTGGTCGCCCAACTGGCAGTGCGGTCCCCTGCCCCGAGCTCACCTTGCTCCACCGTCCCCTGGGTCCGGTGCCAGACTTCCCTTCTGTCTCTATCAGAGAATGAGAACAGACACACTTTCCTACGGGAGCCCCCCTTCCTCATTCGGGGGCATCCCCAGTAACGCACAGGACACATCTTTGTATTGACCTGTATACCATTTATTGCATATAAAATAGTCTTAACAACGACTTTTTCTACGGAAATAGCAGGTTGTGTCATCTGGAGAAATGTGTACAAAAGCGATGGCCTGTGACATTCGAAGGCAGGTGACAAAGAGTTGGCAAACCCAAGCAGGGCCAGGGATGAGGTGCTGCACAGTCGATGTGGCATCTGGGCGGCGGCTCCCTGGCCGTGCTGAGTCGCCTGCAGCCCAGCTTTGAAGAGTTCTGTTGCCACACACGCCCACCCCCTCGGGGCCTCCCCCACCCCAACCCCGGTTCCCAGAGGGACCTGGTGGAAGAAGGTGCAGGAGCACCTGAGCCCGGCCCTGCCTGTCCTGCCTGGGACACTTAGCGGGGTTTCTGCTTCCTAATTTGACATGTTTTTTCCAGTCACTGTCCTACCGAAGCGCCTGCTTATAGGCCATGAACCCGGGCATCGTCCCACCTCCCTGTAAAACTGACATGACCCCATTTTACTGACCGTTTCTTTTGTCTGATGTGAAGTGTGCTATTCGGACGGCTAACACTTATTTTTAGGAAGGGGGGGCTCACGGGGGGACACAGGGCTTGGGCCTGAAGACGATGGGGAGGACTGAGGCGGTCGTGGGCGTTCAGCCCGGGAGATGGACGTGCACGGAGAACCTGACCGGTGAGTTCAACCCTCTGGCTGCCGCTGTCCTTGCTGCGCATTGTGT